GCCCGCACACGCACACGCGCGCCCGCGCCGGGGCCACGCGCGGGGCCAGCCAGGGACGCCAGCGGCACGGCGCTGGGGACCGAGAAGCCCGACCGGACACTCTTGGCCCCTAGTGTGCGGCGGTACCGCTTCTGCTGCCAGGCCCATGAGACCCCGGTGACCTAGAATGCGCCGCAGGGACCACACAGACGTTTGAGTCGAGGTCAGCAGGAACCCTAAAACTAGGACCAGTGTCGTCCTGAGACTTCGGTCTTCCCAGAGACCCACCCCATCCGTGAACTGCGCGATTCTACGGGGCAGGGGTTAAGGGTGGGGATGAGCTGAGTAATCCCCAAGTCCAGCAATTCCGAGTTGTAACTAGTGTCCCCAAGAGGTAGCTGCGGCTGCTGCGGCTGGTGGTGGTGCTTAAAGCTAATGTAGCTTATTAACCTTAAGTCCTCCCAGCAGACGGCCCCAGGAGGAGGTCTGGGTCTTCTGAGTCGTCCAGGTTGTGCTTCTTAGCCATGCCAACTCTTTGGCAGACCTAAGCTGATGCACTTGGGGAGAGAGTGGATGCTGCGCTTGATGGTCTCCTGAAGAAGTCCATGAGAGTTCTAGCCATGTTTTGCCTGTTTCAAGTCTTGTACTCCTAAACATATAATAAATAACTTTATTACTTACTATATGTAAGTAACATATAGTAAATAACTTACCTTAGTAAATTCTACCAGATGAATTTAGGAAGGTAAGTTAATAGGAATCCTGCAACACATTCCCAGTAGGTGGCCACCATTCTCATTAGCTAGAGTTTGCATTCCTTCAGTAGCAAGTTCTTGGACTGTTGGCTACTGACCTGAGGGCTGTCTCTGTTTTCTTGAATGTGCACTCCTCTAGACTTTTTTAAATAGACTTCTCATTTTGGTCATGCCCTAGAAGGGCTCTCTATCTCTAGTTTCTCAGACTCCAAATAGCTCTAGCAGGCCTCTACATACAAGGAGTATCTTGGCAGCTCTCCTCTTCCCCAAAGCTCAAGCTCCTAGTGATGACTCGCTCTCTTCAGCCTGAACAACTCACTTGACAGGACTTGGGAGGTTGTATTTGAAATAAGAATAGAAAACGAGAACAGATGCATAAAATAGAAATTGAAACGTGGAATGTGCATTAAAAAGTTAGAAGAAAAAGAAAGGTGGAAAGTATGAACATATGTAGAAGAATCACCATGAGGGGAAAAAAGCAGTTTTCAGAGAGTCAATCCAGAGAAGAAAAACCAAATAAATGTTTGGAAGTGTTAAAAATATGCTGAGTTCTCTGAAGTACGGAGAGTAGGTTTTCATTAGCTGCCTTTAATCTCTTAAGGTTCTTTATAAATGCATAACAGTAAAACTGTTTATATCTGGTTTATACCCCCAACACACACACATGCACACGAAATTCTGACGGTTAATGTTATTTCATATCTGAAGAAAGTTAAGTATTTAGGTATGTAAGGAGCTAACACAAAGAAAATGCTGCTCTTCCATATTTGAATATTTGCCTCTCAATAGCAAGCAGGGAATAAAAAAAAAAAAAAGTCTGCAAAACTCTCTAGGGTGATTTTAAGGAAGGATACAAGAAAAGAGGAAAAAAATGATGGTTTTCTCCAAAGTGACAAAATAATCCTCTAAAATATTAACAATATCTAGATTTAAAGATTTCCATTTACCAAAGATTAAATCAAGAGAATGAAAAAACATTCATGACTTGCTAATAAACCGACGTATTTTGGCTTAAAATAAAATCATCACTGCTGCTCTGAAACAAACTTTCCACATCCACATCACAATATACTCTCATATAATAGCCGTTATCCTTCAATACCTATATACAATATCCAGTCAACTTAAAGTAAGAGTCCAATTTGCCTTCCAAGCCCAAAAAGGAATTTGAGTGACCCATCAGTGCATCTGCCATTTTCTTCCATTCTTTAAGTGTTGCCTAAGCCAAGTCTTCATAAAATATTCCTAGAGAAAATTGTATCATGAATTAAAAATGAGGGGAAAGGGGACAATGAAAAAAGGCACAGAAATATAAATCAAATCTATTTCCTTCCTATTTGTTATTAACCATATGGAAAAAAACTTTCATTCCTTTGATTTATCCTAAATTTTATCAGTATATATAGTTTTAAAGTCAAGATATAAGGACTACAAAGCTAGTAACACTTCATGCGGTTTCTAATGACTGAACATCTTTCTTTCCTAGTTGTAAATGAGTACAAACTCAAAAGACATTATAAGCTTAAGTTAACAAATTTCTAAATAGAGGAAAGTCTTATTTGTACTCCCAGAATATTTTATTTTCCTTTATTTATCCTTCACTTTGTAAAAATTGAAGCAGGAAGGCCTGTATAATTATAGGAGATCATCTGGTGTTTGATTTTTGTAGTTGCAAGCCTTTATCAGTACTCTCAAATGTGTTTGTGTGTGTGTGATTGCAATTATAATTCATCCCTCAGAATTATTTTTTAATATTCAGAGAAAAAAATCTCGTGACAGTGACAAAATATTCAAATCACAACACTTAAAAAATGTTCCTATGATATTTTCTCTCTGTATAAGTGATTCTTATTGATGCACTACCATATCTCTTTTCAATTCTCAAAGGAAAAATTATACAAAAATGCCTTAAATGAGACTTCTGTTTCACCTCAACTTATTTCTGCTTATAAAATTCAACTCATATATGATAACATAAATAATAAAATGTTTTTATTGTTTAATTTTAACCAAAATAGTTTGCAAGAGGAAGAAGAGTGAACAGTTTTGGAGAAGGATGTAAAAGTGTGGAGGAAAATATTGTTAGTGACCCATCTGAGAAAAACTAGGAAACATCTGCATATATCCATGTACTATTATATATATTGCATAAGGCCAGCCAGTGGTTTTCAAACTCTAGAATAATCAAAGCTTACCGCAAACTCAAATTGCTATACTACATCCCTGAGGGGTCTTATTCAGTTGGTGGTTTGTGGCCACAGTGCTATATGAGATTCAATCTTAACCTTTCGTTTAATCTGGAATAAACCTTACAGATCATCTAGTCGAATTTCTTCATATTATAAATAGAAAAGTTAAGGCACTGGGAGGTTAAATAACATTCTCAATATTTCAGATCTAGAAAAAAACAAATTAAGAGGTAATACCACTTATACATTTTGTTAAATTATTTTCTTTTTTTTTTTGAAGAATGTCTCCTTTTTCTATATTAACTACTTTTGCCATAAACAATATTTGGATATACTATAGGTGCATATTGGTAAAAAATAATAAATGTGATTGAAAGTTCATTATAGTAACCCAAGGCAATAAAATTGTGTTGCAGAGTAGCTTATCCATAAGTATTTAAAGATGCAATGGTTTAATCATTACCCTAGACAGAAATTCATGCTATAGTAGAGATGCCATTGGGCTTAGCATGACATTGTTCCAGCAGTAACAACTAGATATTCCACAAACAAGCTTAGTATACAACAGTATTTGCATAATAAAATGATTTTATCAAAAATCTCTTCATTATCCTTTTTTCCTAACTAGTCAGCTCATTTCATTGGGCCTCTACTACTGTCTGAATACTGATGTCCCAACAAAATCCTTATGTTTGAATCCTAACCAAAAAAGTGTTGGGTTAGGAGGTTGACCTTTGGGAGATGATTTGGTTATGAGTGAGATGTCTTCACAAGTGCGATTAGGGCTCTTCTAAAAAAGATTGAAGAACTCCTTTCCAGTTCCATAATTTGAGCTTACAGTGAAAAGATACCATCTGTGAGAAAGCAGGCCCCCAGAGACATTAAGTCTTCTAACATCTCTGTTCAGCTACCAGGTTCATTACTATTAAAAAGAAATTCTACTGTTTCTTAGTCTGTACTATTTTGTTATAGCAATGGACTAAAATAGCCTCCAGTGTATGTTAGAAAGCTTTTTACCTGTGTAATAGAAACTGAAATTTAATGAACAAAAGAAAGATGATGGTATAAATATCTTCAGGTAGAATTAGAGCAGAAATTGTAGGACTATTGAGATTATTTCTTCCTACTTCTATAACCCTGTCACCCCACCTGTACCACATACCTCATGAATTGGCTTCTTTCTTTTAGATCACTTTCTTTGAACTTTGTTTGCTGGTAAATTCAAGTTTATATCCTCATGGATTCACAACTAGAAGAAAGGTCATGACAGAAAGCTTTCAAGGGACGATTTTGTCAAATCTAGTGTAGGTAATTGATATACACCTCAGCCATTCATTTGAGATTGGGGTAGTTTTGTATGGTTCAAAGTTCCTCTTTCAGCATGCCATTATTATTGCACAGAATACATCTATTATATACCACGATTTTCCAGCAGGTGGCAGTAAAATGAGTTATTTTTCCAAAATCTGTTTCAAAGTTCCTGATGAGTGGAAGTATTTTTAGGAAGCAATGCTACTTTATAAATTCACACAGAGAAGAATGCCATGCGAATTATCAGTAGTTATGTAGGGATCAGTAGACAGTGTTGAGCAAGTATAAATACCTCATTTGAACTAAGTTGCCCACTCATTGGCTGATTAGGTCTCCTAAAAATGATGTATGCTCCTAAGAAAACAAAAACAAAAACAGTGATGAATTCACCATGGAGCTTTTATAATGGATTGTTGTATTTCTTAGTTTTGTCTCACATATGCAAATTTACACTTTTAAATTATGATTATGATTATGA